TTGAGCAAATACAAGCACATAATTTTTTTGTGGGTACCAATTGGAAGGCTGTTACAGACGCGGGATTTAGTTGTAACAGTAACGAACGCAATCGGTGCAAAGATAGTAGAATTTCTTAAGCACACGTGTATAGATTCATATGCGGAGGTATAGGCCCCTATTATGAGTTGCATTCGATCTTCGACTATGGTCGAAAGTGCTGATCGAAAACGAATTTGCATTTCGTATTATGACGCTCATTCGATAAATAATGGGCCGAATGAATAAAAATAAGCAACTGCTTTTTATTAAAATTTCAGATCTTTTACTCAATTTATTCAAACAAAATTGTAGTAAAAGGTATGAAATTTTAAGAAAAAGCAATTGCTTAGTTTTTATTCATACGGCCCAATAGCGCTATTGTGCCGCTTGTGTTTAGTATTCACGATGTTAGAACTGCATGAAATTAATACCATCGAAAGCGAAATTCTGTTCGAAAGAAAATTCGATACCCAACGAAAATTTCGATACGGTTGCATAGCTCATAATACGAATTTCACTCTCGATCTTCGATAACCAGCGAAGATCGAAAATCGAATGCAACTCATAACAAGGGCCATAAACTTTATTTATGGTTATCACTGAAACCATCGTACTATGTTCGATTTTCGTGAAATATCTACGATCGAATGTATACGTGTGGATGTACTGAATAGATAGAGCCAGTTAATTTGCTCACAGTTTTGTGTTAATTATCTCCATAGCCTTAAATGAAATTTATTGAAGAAAAAATGTTGTTAAATTTTTTATTTGTGAATTTGGGTTCTAACAGATTTTTTTTTTATAAAACATCACTATCCCCCCTATTATGAATTTTCATACGATAGATGATAAACGCTTGCAAGCGTATCGTATGAAATCAGTTCTCGTATTATCGTTTTCATACGCCCGATAGATGTGTTGTTGTGAATGGCTGTGGTTTTTGTTCACTTTTTATTTTGAGCTAGCACAAATCAGCTATGCTAACTATCGGATTTCATACGACAACATCGATTCGTAATATAGACCAACAGAATACAAGCGTTTATCGTGCATCGAACGAATTCATAATGTAGGGGTATGTCA